CCCCAAAACCCCAAAACCCCAAAACCCCAAAACCCCGAAAATTATATAAAGAATGGATGATTATATTATTAATATTATTAAGATGAAGAGAGGGTGAGTACTAATCTTGTCTATCATTGTTGTGATAGCTGATGTGTGTAAGAATGATCTAAAGGCAGCTGAATCACCTCTGACCTCAAGTTTTGAAATGCCAGGGTATACTAATGTGTTCTTTCGTGATATATTTGATGACCAGGAAAGAGGATTTCTGTATTTCATTGGCAGATTTCATACTTCTGCTCCTTGGACTTGACTTATCTATAAATCTGATTACAACTTGACTAAATCTCAAGTCATGACTTATGATATATACGATATGGGTATTTCATTAGCTATTGATCCTAGCAAAGATTTCATATATATACTAGATCTCACAACTGGGAAGATATTTGAGATTGCAACTGCTGATCTCAGCATTTCAAGAGAGCTGAAAATTAGTAATGCCTCTGTTAATAATTCAAACTTGGAAATAGGTAAGGGCTTCTACTTCAGCCTGATCATAAATTCAGTTGTTGAAACTTGTAGGTGGGATAGAGTATCTACAAATCTTGACTGATTTACCTTTGGAGTCAATAGACGCACAAATTTCGCTCCAATAAATGAGGATCTTTTGTTTTTTGGATCAATAGATATCTCAACCGATCATTACTATTTAATTAATTACAATTTCTCAGATTCTTCTAACTTGGTCTGGAAGAAAAGTATTAATTGTCCGACTTCAAGCTGATATAACGGAATGGGTAATTCGCTGTTAAGTCAAGATGAAGAATCAGTCTATACAGTGATTTTGTATGATAATAACTTTATATTTTATAAACTGAATGTGACTGATGGTTCATCTGAAAATTCGGGATTTATATTAAATGATATTGGGTTTTATTGGAGTTACTCAATGAAGGAGTTTAGAACTTTAGTTGCCTTCCAGATTTATAGTACAACGTCATCGATACAACAACGATTAATTTTGGTAAATCTTGCAGGAACAAAAATACTGAAAGAGTATAAACCTGTTGACTCAACACTGTATGCTGTTGGAAAGTTCATATATCAAGGAGAAGAACTCATGTATCATTGTGGACGTCTGGATACTAATTATACATTTTTCATCGCAAGGTCGCTTCCAACTAATATTGACCAACTGAAAGAATTTCAAGAGGAGACTCCTATTTTCACGAAGATTACTACTGATTACAAAGTAACTGCAACAACATCAAACCCAAGTATCAGTTCAGGTACGAAGACTCTTATAATTTCTTCTTCCTCGGTTATCGGAACAAGTGATATAACTTCAACAATAACTCCTTCATTCACTTCCTCAATAAATTTGGGGAATGAAGATCACATTCAGACAGTCAGTAGCAGCTCTTCAGTGCAATTGAACTTCACCTGGGCTTGATCTCGCATGGTAGACTCAACTGATATCTATTTCAGTCTAGCAAAGACTGGGTCAAATGCTATCCCTGAGTGGGTACAACTGGATGCAGACAAACAAGAGCTGTACCTGAATACAACTCCCAAGTTAGATAAAGAAGAAACTTACTATTTCTCTCTCCAAATCTCTTTTGATACCGAGACGTACTACAAAAGGTTTGAGATTACTGTTGAAGAATGAATAATTCTGAACTGTGCACTCTGAAAACTGAGAGAACCCAGCATCTGAGAGACTTGAGCAACTGGTTATCAAAGCTTTACTGAAGGCAAGTCTTGAACCAAGGTTACTCTTCCCGCTGGAGCTGCAAAGGCTGCTGCTGCTCTGGTCACATCGAGTGTTGTCCTGGCGAGTGCTTCTTCTGTGTTATCATTGTCATCTGTCAATTCAATATTTAGTATTATGAATAGTCTACAACTAGCGATACTATTACCTTTGGTTCCTGGCTATTTCTCTCCTCAAGTGTTAGATTTTCTTAGTGGAATGGGTTTCACAATGCTATCTTTTGATTTCATCAAGTTCAAAGATCTCCCTTTTGCACAAGATCTTACTGACTGGGTGTCATACCCTCAGTCTGACCAATACTTGAACAACCTCGGAATGAGGTCTGGAAGCTCGGTTGTCAACTATTTATCCCTAATGGCTATTATTTTACTTATTGTGGTTCTCCATTTTGGAGTATATTTGTTGTGTGTGTGAATTCAGAATTCTAAGCACACAAGATGTAAGAAGTTTATGAATAATCTGTTCAAGTTCTTCACATTCAATATTTATATCAGGGTATTCATTCAAGCATTTATGTTCACTACTTTGTCAATATTCAGTGAGCTATACAATCTTAATCTCTCCACAACCGTGACGAAGGTATCCTTTGGGTTGTGCGCAATATTCTGATTATGCACAAGTGTGTTGTTTCTTCTGTCTTTCTATATGTATTGTAAGTCATTTCCGAAGATTGATGAGGAAAAGTATTGGCCATGCGTTGAGTACTTCAATGGAGTGAAATCAACAAATTTCTCCAAGCTCTATACTAGTTTATTTATGATTCTGAGATTGCTACTTTGAGGATTACTAGTTTTTGGGGAAACAATTTCTCCATCTACAAAGGCAACTTACTTTTATCTATTAAACATTGGATTTTGCTTATACTTGATTATTGTGAGGCCACTTGAAAATCCTCAGGACAACATTATAGAGATCATAAATCAGATAATTTTCTGCTGTTTAGCTGTTCCTTTATCTTGGCTAAACACGGAGGAAGCCTGGACTCCATTTTACGAACGGTACTACACAACGATATTCATGGTGTCTCCAGCTATAGGAAGCATAATTTGACTAGGATTCCTATTAAAATCAATACTAGTTCGTTTTTGAAAGAAAGAACCAAAGAAAAATCAACAAGCTGTCGCTCCAAAGAAGGCATCATCAACCCAAAGAGTTTCAAATAATCAAGAAACTCCAGCGATCATCCAGACTCAATTTATAAATCAAGCCTCCTCAAGCATGAGTAGAAGTAGCGCTGTCATATTTGATCGTCAGACTCCTCAAAATCTTTCCAACAGAATCTTCTACCCAAGAAGAGTTCCTATGAGAAGGAAATTAAATGGCAGAACTTAATTATTTTAACAATCTCTCAATTGTGAATTAGCACCCGGGGTTTTGGGGTTTTGGGGTTTTGGGG